AAGACTCCCCACAGACTCTGTTTTCATTGACTGTTCACAAACAAAGCAATTTTCCAAGATAGAAACGTTTGATGAATCTTGTGTGGGTGTATATATTGGCCTTCAGCAGTGGGGCTGATAGTGGAAAGTGGTGTATGTGTGTGTGCGCACATACATGTGTGTTAATGGAGGACCCCCATCTCCCCTCATCCCCGCACTCCACTACAGCGAACCCATTACATACTGTATCTCTGACCCCCCCCCCCCTTTCCCTCTCTCCTCCCCTGTCTCTCAGGAGGACTGTCTCTCCATTCGATCTGAAATGATCTTGATGCTGTCATGGGTGAAACGAAGGAGGCAGGGGCGGTGTGTGTGCATGTGTGTATTTCTGCCTGTGTAGGGAGGATGGTTTTGCTCACTGATGTGTTTTAGAGGCTGTGCCGGTATTTCTCTCTCCCAGCAGTATGAACATAGATAGATGAAGAAGTCTTAACTCTGTAGAAGTGAAGAAGTGGGGAGACTTTCTTCTAGTCTTAACAGTGATCATAACAGAACTGGAGATTGACAGCCTTTAGATCTCTGCCATCTCAGCTAAGCCACTTCTCTAGTGCTTTTCCCATGGTTAGACCATTGCCGCGGGAAGTAGTTTGTTTAAATTTTTTGGGTATTTATGCCAATTTTACAGGGGGTGCTGCAGCACCCTCAGAACCCCTACTTCCTGCAGCTATGGGTAAGACTGTTAAACAGGCAGGTGTGTGTGTGTGCGTGCCTGCATGTCATTGAGAAATATTATTATTAAGAGCTCAGATCAGAAAGAGTCGTTTCAGCGGGTCTTAAAGACGTGCTAAAGCCCAGTTGATGCCTGGCGCACGCACGCACGCACGCACGCACGCACACACACACGAGAGGATGGAGAGAATATAGCGATGTGCGAGTGACAGAGGGTGGAAGGAATGTAGGTTGGAGAAGGTGGAGGAGAAGATGGGGGAATGTAGAGAGGAGTGGTTTACAGAGAGGATGGCAGGAATGAGTGGGCAGAGGGAACCATATGCCCCAGGGGCTGTCGTGTCTGCTTCTGAGAGCGAGAGAGGGGGAGGGAGGGAAAGAGGGGGAGGGAGAGGAGAGAGAGAGGGAGAGAGAGAGAGAGAGAGAGAGAGAGAGAGAGAGGAGAGAGAGAGAGAGAGAGAGAGAGAGAGAGAGAGAGAGAGAGAGAAGAGAGAGAGAGAGAGAGAGAGAGAGAGAGGGATGGAGAGAGGGAGAGAGAGAGTGATAGAGAGAGGGAGAGAGAGAGTCTGTGTGTGTGTGTGTGTGTGTGAGGCTCTTAAGTAACACAAATTATCTGTCTCCCATTGCCAAGGCGGAATAGCGATGTCTGATATCGTCCCTCCACACACACGGATATTCTGCTGTAAACCTGAAATTACCTTTTGAAATGTAATCTGTGTTTTGTCTGTCAGTATTGTTAGTGTTTCTAGGAGAGGATCTGGCCTATCCAATATGTTGGAGGCTTTACACCACTGGCTCTGCTGGGACATATACATTAGGATGAATCCGCGAATGAAACGATAAATTACTGAATGAATAATTAGAAATGTGACTTCCTGCTGTTCCTCCACACTGAGTTGTTTCTTTTTCTTGTTTTCTTATTCTCTTCTTCTGTTTTATTCTGTCATTCTTTTAGAACATATTTGTTGTCTAATTGGAGCATTTGGAGGAGGCAGCTTATATGGGAGAGAGATGACTCATAGCAGGAGGGAATGGGATTGTAAGTGTGGCTGCTCTACTACTTTCAGCTTCTTCCCTCTGCTGCCAACACACACCAGCAGTCTGTGTCATTGAGATGGAGCGGCTCTAGTGATTTTGAATGAGGCATTGGGTATTGTTGACGGCAGAGGGGAGATGGTCGTTAATTAGAGGGGAAAGGTAATGACTGTGCATGTGTCTGAGGGCAGGGTAATGACTGCTGCCAATACTCTGGTATGAGAGCCACTCAGGAGACTAACTATGATGAATAGCTAACTAACAGCTCTCAATATGCTAACATCAGTAAGAGATCTCACTATAGTTACCCATTTTAAACCCATTAACCCTCTACACTCATGAAAATTGGGTTATATGGAAAGGGTAAATTATCAAAAATGCATGAACATGGTAGCAATTGAAAAATAACACTTTGGAGATTATGGGAAAATTATCAAACCAAAGGTGAGGACACAACAGTTCACCTGACACAAGACTGAATCCAAACATTACACTGTTGATTTGTCAATAATTAAATCTGAAAATACTCTGGATACATTCAGTAACATAATACAACTTTTCATGAAAATGTTGGGGTAGGTGTAACATAAGAAAAAACTATTACAAGGGTTTGAGTGATAGGTCTAACTGGTGTCTCCAAGTGGCCACACAGTAATAATGTTTATTGAGGCTTTGGGTAGTAGAAAAGGAGGTGGAGAACATCACAACCACATAAACACACTGTTCATATTAACACACTGCCCTCCATATTGAAACTAACCACAGTCTCCATATGACAGTCTTCATAGTGAACAGAAGTCTTTCTCCTCCAGAGGTATAAGCGCTAAATGTCTTCATATTGCTCAAACAGCTGACAATGGTTTTTACAGAAACATGACAAGACAAGACAGTTCACAGTTTAACTATAGTTCAACTCTACATGGAAATTCACAGTCAAATTTTACATCTGAGGGAGTTCGGGCACAGCAAAGCAAGAGATGGATTTTCAACCAAAATATATTTAGCACATCGCAAATCAATATTATCTGTATCTTGTCTGTTCTCCTGTAGTCGTCTCTGGATGTCGACATGCTGGAATTCAGTCAAACCCGTCATGGTGATGTTTATATAGTGTCTTTGTTAACTAACTACTTCAGAAACACACACTTTCTATTCTGAAAACGGGATGTGTCTGTGAGGGGAGTCTCACAGACAGCAGTAAAGGTATGTTTTTAGAAACCAAAACCCTACCCATTATAATCAACCCAAACAGCATCCAGTCTGACAGCTACAGTAACACACTCACACACCTCATGTCTGGAAGACATGAACCTTGTGCTCAGTAGCAGAATGGGAGGGTAAACTAAAGGAAGGTTACACACAGAGTCTGTAGTTATACCCCGCCCTGATTTACTAGTCTCTGTGGGAGTATGTGTGTTATATAAATTAAGTTAGTTTGATATAAGCCTGAAAATCTGAGCACTGGTGGTAGATAGATCACAGTGGGTATGGTTTGGCCATACAACCTGGACTCAGGGGTAGACGTAACATAGTAAACAAAGATCCAGGACAATCAAATTAATATGATATATTACGTTTGGTATGGTATGTATTCATTTGTGGATGTCAATCATCCATTTTGTATGATATGCTACGAATTACAATTCTTATGATATGTTATGAATTACAATTCGTATGATATGTTACACATTGCAATTCGTATAATATGTTCAGAATTCCAATTTGTTGTGGCTAATGTTAGCTAGGTGGTTAAAGTTAGCTAGGCTAGGGGTTAGGGGTTAAGGTTAGGAGTTAGGTTGAAGGGTTAAGCTAACTTAGGTTTTTTGCTCAAAATGATAATTATCTGGCTAATAATGGGAGCCTCAAGGAAAAAAATGGGCCGATGTGTGGGCCTCAAGGAAAAAAATGGGCCAGTGTGTTAGAAATACCAGGGCCCATTTTTGGTCACAGTCCGCCTCTGTGTGTGTGTGCGTGCATGTGACTGTTTGCCTTTGTCTTAATTTCACAGAATTTTCACTGAGAAATCTCTCTCCCACAATGAATGCACTGGGAGCAAGGCCAAACCAGGTAGCAGCAGAGACAGAAGATGAAACACCACAGAGGAAAGTATTTCTCTCCCTCTCCCACTGCCACAAACATCAGTACTGCTTTCAGTTGTGCTGCCTTTTTATGGATGCATACAAACCAATGACTGGAAGAAACACACAAACAGAGCACACACAAAGACACACACACATACTGTGCACAGATACACACACAACGACTGGACTTGGACTTGAGAGAGGTGATATGTGCATATTGATAAACCATCGCTCACCTCGGCTCTAACAGTAAAAGAGACTGACAAACACCATGAAACAGGTGTGTGTGTGACTCAAAGCCCAGGAGGTGGGACACAATCTAAAGTCCTTCTCTCAGATGATTTCTGCTCCCTGGGGAGGAAACCAGCAGCGTTGGGGAGAATTCCAGAAAAGACCATTTCCTTTCACAATAACTGAAAATATGAGTTTCAGGCTGTGATTTACTGATGTTACCATGCTGGCTTGTTCCTTGGTCCTGGACCCTCCACTCATGCAGGGGTCAGCATATGTTTCACAGATGGATCAGAACACCGGATGCTCCTGGATGCGTCTACATTTTAAATTTTAGTCATTTAGCAGACGCTCTTATCCAGAGCGACTTACAGTTAGTGAGTGCATACATTTTTTCATACTGGCCCCCCATGGGAATCGAACCCACAACCCTGGCGTTGCAAGCGCCATGCTCTACCAACTGAGCTACACATCATAATACGTACACATACACGTGCGCACACACACTGATGACAAGTACACACAGACACATACACACACACTGATGACACTTGCTTATGACAAAACAAAGTTCTCCCATGGAGGGAAGGTGCTTTCTGTTCTGGAAGATCTGATCTGTGTACCAACAGTCATAAGGTCACTATTAACACTCATAGTGGTGCTACAGACACTCATAGCAGCACTATGAACACTCTTAACACAGTGTGTGTGTATGTTCACGGTGCCAGAGGGAGAAGGTTGCTTCATTCACATTAGCACATTCATCTGAACAGCATGGGAAGGGACTTAACTCTTCACTAACCAATCACAGTCTGGTGGTGAGGAGATTGTCAAAACAAAGATAACGCCAGTCAGACAGATGAAGTGTTGGGTCTCAGCCAATCAGTCTTAGTCCCATGTTGGGGGTCAGGGTCATGGCGTTAGAGCTCAGGGGTTGAATGTCAGGGGTCATGGTTGGTGCTGCTCCTGCAGGCCAACTAGTCTGCAGCTGGAGTCCCAGAGGCCGAGCTGGAGCTGGGGGTCGTAGGTGTTTGGTGATGTCATCTCTGTGCGCCCGTTGCTCCAGTAGCCTCCTCCCTCCCCCTCCAGAGACGGAGACAGAGCAGTGTAGAGGACCGTGGATGCTCCCTGGGTCGGGCTCTGGGGACACAACACAAACTGTCAGAATGTTATACACACGCATGCACCCAGCCACGCACACACACGGACACACACACACACACCCAAAGAGGCTGTTATATAAACACACACAACCAGCAGTGCTTCACAGGCATTAAGATACAGCTAGATCTACAGCCTCACAACAAAAGCCTACAGTATTTCTACAACAACATGACTTTTCAACCTATTTCTACATGAGACTATGGTAAACAGTGTGTGTGTGTGTGTGTGTATTAATGTGATAGCGCTGAGGAGCCTGTGATTAATGGTGCATTTGTAGCTGCACGGCAGAGGCTCCCTAAAGGTCATTTACTGAGGCAACTGCCTGTAGTGATTACACTCTCTCTCACACAAACAGCACACACAGGGCTGTCTCCTTCCATCCCAACCTCCAGACATTAACAGTGCCTCCAGGCCAAGGCTTTAAGATATGCAACACATTCTAAAATAACCCCACTGAAATAAACAAGCACTATTTAGTTAGCAAGCAGCAAATGTTTTAACATTTCATTTTCAGATGGAACGTACGTGTGTGTGTGTGTCTGTGTGTGTGTGTTGGTAGAGCGTGGAACTTGCAATGCCAGGGTTGTGGCTTCCATTCCCACGGTGGAGCAGTACCAAAAACTACCAAAATGTATGCACTCACAACTGTAAGTCGCTCTGGATAAGAGCGTCTGCTAAATGACTCAACTGTAAATGTAAATGACTGAGAGTCATGGGAGATTGATTCATGCATATCTTATGGAGATTCTGAACATTCTTATCTTTCTTAAGCCTGGCAAGTTTTCCCACTTCATCTCTCTTTCTCTTCATCTCTGTCTCTTTCTCTCTCTCTGCCTAAATATAGAGTCTGAAGTCAGTATGGTACTGAAATGCCACATGACACATTTTAAGATACTTATTCTGTAATTCACTTCTTGAATAAATCGTTCCGATTTCTTCTGAAAACTTTCACAGTCGTCAGATTCGGGAAATTCAACGGTAACAGAATAATGCTGAGATTTTTCACTTTATAAATTAATGCCAAACAAAAACCAAGTATTGCAAAGTTAAACAAACCATACAACTCTATGCACAAGGATGACTTTTAACAATTCCACAGAACATTTTACAAAAACACATTTCCTTGAAGAACAGTGCAGATGCAAAGTTTGGTAACAGAATGATGGCACCAACAACACAAACCGTCATTCTGTTACCAAACTTTGCATCTGCACTGTTCAGTAAATGTGCATTTGCACAGTAAATGTGTTTATATAAAATGTTCAGTGGAAATTGTTGAAAGTAGTCCTTGTATGGTTTGTTTAACTTTACATTTACATTTACGTCATTTAGCAGACGCTCTTATCCAGAGCGACTTACATTTAGTGCATACATTATTCTTTTTTTTTTTTATTCATACTGGCCCCCCGTGGGAATCGAACCCACAACCCTGGCGTTGCAAACGCCATGCTCTACCAACTGAGCTACCTCCCTGCTGGCCATTCCCTCCCCTACCCTGGAAGACGCTGGGCCAATTGCGCGCCGCCCCATTGGTCTCCCGGTTGCGGCCGGCTACAGCAGAGCCTGGATTCGAACCAGGATCTCTAGTGGCACAGCTAGCACTGCGATGCAGTGCCTTAGACCACTGCGCCACTCGGGAGATCCTGGTTTTTGACATACATTTTAAAGTGAAACATCTGAGTCTCAGCATCATTCTGTTACTGTGGAATTGCCAATACTCGATTAGTACTGTGTGTGTGTGTGTGTGTGTGTGTGTGTGTGTGTGTGTGTTTGTGTGTACCCTAAAGAGCAGGCGTGCAATGGCTGTCTGTGCGAGGCGGGCGGGGGGGAAGATGGTGGCGGTAGAGTGACGTGTCGACCATCCCAGGATCCACTGCACATGAGCTCACTGAAAACCCTCCTCTATCCAGCCTCTGTTGCAGGTGGGACGAAAATAATAGTAGTGCCAGCTTACTCTGGCAGTACGCAGCATGGGCTGAATAACACTGCCTAAAGAGAGGGAAGAGAAAGATGTTGAAAAAGTGTGAGGAAGTTAGGAGAGGAGGGTGTGTGTGTACATGTAGGTTGAGGAGAGGAGGGTGTGTGTGTTAGTGATGCGCGGGTTGACTCATAACCCGTAGTCCCCACGGTTATATCCGCGAGGCGGGCGGGTTTAGGGTCATGAAATATTGTGTGGATGAAGGGCGGGTGGGTTGAATAAAGAGAAAACAATACCTTAAAAAACCCATAAATGTATAATTCTTGTGCAATTTATATCTATAGGCTACATTAATTTTTTTCTTTCATAATTTTAGGCAATTTGGCATTAATGTGTAAGCCTAAGCTTTAGGGCCTAACTGTACACGCGCCAAATAGTCTACACGCCAATCGCCAAATGCATTTGGGAACGGGCATAAACAGTTAACGTAGGCAAAAAGGACAATGTCAGAGTTTAATTCAATAAGAGAAAAGCTGTGAAATGGAGAGTGGAAAATAAAGAGAAGGGAGGGCCAGAAAAGTCATGTTTGGGAAAGATTTGGTGAAGTGGTAAAAGAGGATGATTGTGAGGCGCTATACAAATTCAACAGTCATAAGACGGGACTTCAAATAGGCCTATGGCACGTCAAGGGAACTGTAGCCTACTGTTCAGATGGGTTAAATGGAAACTGAAATCTGGACACTGACTGTAGGTCTATAACCTCTCACAAAGCCTTAATATTAACTCCTGCAGAATTAAACATTTCTTGCACTAAAATGAAATTTTGACTCGGGGAACAGGAGTGGAGAAATATGATTTATTTATTTCAGCATCTTGAGAGAATGAGAATGTGCAGTTAGATACCGTCTGTAGAGGTGCTATCTTTATCAGCATCATAAAAGCTGATAGTATTTCAACCAAATAAAATATGAATCCAAGCCAAACTGAAATCCTATCAGAAACATGTTGGGTCATTTTCACAGCTTTCTATTTCCTTACAACAGGTCAAATCGTTCCCGTTTTTGTTTAGTTATTGCATTTTCTCCCCGGTCCCTAAACGTCTTTGCTCTGCGAAAGAAGCAGAGATGACAGAGAAAACTTTAGCGATGTCAACTAGATTGAAGCATTCATTCTATTAATTTTAATATGCCATTATTCTGGTGGGTTTATTCAGTCTTCTAGGGCAACATAATGACAGAAGAGAAGCTGCATGTAGGTCTATCTAATTATAGACAAGTTTACTGACAAATAGCCTACCAAAACGTCTGAAATTGTAAGCAGAAACATATCTAAAATCAGGCAAAAGGATTGTGAAAAAAAATCATTACGCCTTCTCTGACTGTAGCCTGCAGCGCATTTTCTATATTAGCGGGTTAGGGTCGGGTGCGTGCCTCAGATTTTCCCTTTATCACATATAGTCGGGTGATTGCGGATGGGTTATTAGCAATTACGAGTGGGTGCGGGTGAACAAACAGCTGACCCGCGCCCCACTAGTGTGTGTGTGTGTGTGTGTGTGTGTGTACCTGTTTAGCAGGTTGTCTAGTTGTATCTCTCCAGCACCGTGAGCTGACGAGGAGAGGGTGACAACACGTGAGCAGGAACCGCGTTTCCCAGAATGCTTTAATGTGTCTAACAGCAGCAGGGTCAACAGGAAGTGACCTAGGTAGTTGACCCCGAAGTGACGCTCAAAGCCCTCCTCTGTACGACCCTCAGGGACCAACATGACCGCCGCTGCACGTGTGCGCAAACACACACACACACAAATAGTTAGACACAGTTAATTGAATAATTTAAGTCTTATATCAAGTGGTTAAGTCGGCAGGCTGATTGGTTGATTGTGTGTCACTCACCATTGTTGACTAAGATGTGCAGCGGTAGGCCCCGTCTCTTGAAGGTCTGGACGAATTGCCTGACCGACTGCAAAGACGCCAGATCCAACTGCTCAAACTCCACTGAAAACACAAAACACACACACACCAGTCATTTAAATACGATACACAGTACAGATGTAGGATCTTAATTTGATTACCCTGTTGCAGGAGAACTTTCCTGCAATACAGAACATTTTAAACGTGTAGTGTATTTGAGGTTTAAAAAGGCTTCTGAAGTTTGTAATTTCCACTTAGAAATTTCAGACTTGGTTTTCCCTTACGAAAATCCACTTAATAATTCACATTTCCCGTTGCTGCAGGATTAATTTCCTGCTGTAGCAAACTGGCTCAAATTCAGATCCTACATCTGTAAATACACACATACGGGTAGAACGTCCTATAGGCAGATCATTTGAGCGCACACAAACAAACAAACACACACACACACAATTATTTCTGCTAGCTGTGTCTGTAGTGGAACATCAAAGCAGCATGAATGTATTAATCTCCTACAGTCGGCTCTGGTCTAATAGAGAACACAAACTGCTGCATGCTTCATACACATTATACTACATGATACCAATACCTCCTCCTAACATCTCATACAGTAAGTATTCTGCAGCAGCAGCACTTGGCAGGACCTTGCTGTAGGACCTCAGCTCTGTGTGTGTGTGTCTGTGTGTGTGACTTTCAGAGTCAAAAATAGCTTTTCACACTGGATGTTTTTTAGCCCAGGGCTAAACTTATCCTAGGTTAAAAGTAGCCCAGGGCTACCTTACCCTCATTTCACACTACCATTAGTTTAGCCAGGGTGAAACCAAAATGTACAGCTTGAAAAGCCCTAGAGTCCTCTGGCTGTGTGCGTGTGAGGACTATATGTGTTTGTGTGTGTGTGTGTGTGTGTGTGTGTGTGTGTGTGTGTGTGTGTTTCATACACAGGCTAAGTCAGGGTTTGATACTGATATGAGAATAATTTAACTAATGCCAAATTCCAGCCCTAACCCTGTGTGTTTATAGCTAGCTTTGCCCCTGTCTGAATGCCTGTCTGCCTGTCTGTCTGTCCTCTCTGTCCCTCTGTCCCCATCCTTTCATCCTGTCTGTCTGAGAATGTGCAGATTTTGCTGTAAACGGGCGGTGCCAGTTCTATATTTTGAACAAGGTGAATCTGTACCGTGTTTTGATTGGCTCTGGCAGAACATAAGAAGCGTTTGGTGTGCATGTGCTCTGCTATTTTCCTCTCAACAATGGGGTATTTAGGGCACACTCCACTCCTTTCCACCCCTCTTATTCATCCCTCCCTTCCACTCCACCTGTTCTACCTATGATATTTACAACGAGGATCTGGGATCCATGCCAGAGAGATAAGCACATTTTACACCTACAAGCTTTTCATTCTGTTAATGTACCCAGCGCTACTCCACTCTGAGCCCAATACACTACTGCACCACCGCTACAGTCTATATCAAATGTTAATACACTACTGTCTATCAAATGTAGCCTAGCTACTGCAGTAACACATTTAATATAGTGTCCAGTCATGACTCACAAAAGCAGGTGGGTAAACTCTGAGCACCTATCAAGATGATGAGAAGCAAATAACTCAACTTTTATGCAAAAAATGCTAATAGGTGGATAAACACTTTTCACTATTCAGTGCTGTGTTTACTTACGTTTATCCTCCATTACATCACTGGTTAACACACTGTTCCCTTTCAGTCGGTGACTCTGTATAAAATACTATGGGGAGTTAACGACCCATCAACGGCCCAGTGGATGCCGAGTCCGCCCTCAGAAGCATCCATTTCCTATTTCCTAAATTCTTTGCTTTTCAGCTCGCCTGAAGGAAGAACGTGTCACGCAATTTACGAACTTTTCAAGCACACGAAGACTACGAGATTCGGCACTGACTAAGGTGTCTGTTAGTGGGGAGAGAGTACTCGCCCCCCTAGATGTTGCGAGTTTTGGGTCTTGGTATACGTTTTTGTGTTTGCTAAAAGCTAACTACTTTCTTCTCTGCTTGTGTAGCCAGTGCTTCCTTGCTTGAGTAAGATGGCCAGTGGTAAGAGTAAGTTAAAAAAAGGCTAACCATCTGAGTTTGAACCTCCGACCGTGCCCTAGGGCATGTGGTTTCACAATGAAAACGAAAGATACTCACGAGTGCTGTCCCATTTGCCTGGGGTGGAAACACGTTCAGGAGGCTTTGGCTCGGACCAGTTCTTGTGATCATTGTCTCCGGCTGATCTCAACTTCCATTAGGCATCGGGCTGAATTTGTGAGAAAGATTGGGGCTGCTGGTGAAGGGTCTTCCGGTGAAGCGACCTCGATAATGGGGTTGTCTGAGGCCGGGAGAGAGCGGCAGCGGTAGTCGGAGTTGATAGGGGTGTCATCCCAGCCGAGTGAGGCTCATTCCGGTTTCTATAGGCAGCGTTCAGAGTCCGGATTCCGGGGATGATATACTATCCCTGGTTGGCTCTGGAGGGTTTTCAGAGTGTCAATCGGATGACATCAGTCCGGGGCAGCCTACAGCCCCGGCTTTGGATTTGGTGGGGCAGAGTGAACCATTAGTGGTTAATGCACCTGGTTAAGATCTTATCTGTCGGAAAGATATATTTTCTTCTCTGTGGATGGTTTGTCCTCTGACAAATCAATTGTATGTTTCGATGTTCCTCAAGGTTCCGTTTTAGGACCACAATTGTTTTCACTATATATTTGACTTCTTGGTGATGTCATTCGGAAACACAATGTTAACTTTCATTGACAAACAGCTGTGCATTTCAATGAAACATGGTGAAGCCCCAAAACTGCCTACCCTGGAAGCCTGTGTTTCAGACATAAGGAAGTGGATGGCGGCAACTATTTTACTTTTAAACTCGGACAAAACAGAGATGCTAGTTCTAGGTCCCAAGAAACAGAGATCTTCTCTTGGATCTGACAATTAATCTTGATGGTTGTACAGTCGTCTAATAAAAAAAAACTGAAGGACCTCGGCGTTACTCTGGACCCTGATCTCTCTTTTGACGAACATATCAGCTTTTTTCCATCTTCGTAACATTGCAGAAATCAGAAACTTTTTGTCCAAAAATTATGCAGAAAAGTTAATCCATGCTTTTGTCACTTATAGATTATACTACTGCAATGCTCTACTCTCCGGCTACCCGGATAAAGCACTAAATAAACTTCAGTTAGTGCTAAACACGGCTGCTAGAATCTTGACTAGAACCAAAGGTTGATCATATTACTCCAGTGCTAGCCTCTGGCTTCCTGTTAAGGCTAGGGCTGATTTCAAGATTTTACTGCTAACCTACAACGCATTCCATGGGTTTGCTCCTACCTACAGTGGGGAAAAAAAGTATTTAGTCAGCCACCAATTGTGCAAGTTCTCCCACTTAAAAAGATGAGAGAGGCCTGTAATTTTCATCATAGGTACACATCAACTATGACAGACAAATTGAGAATTTTGTTCTCCAGAAAATCACATTGTAGGATTTTTTATGAATTTATTTGCAAATTATGGTGGAAAATAAGTATTTGGTCACCTACAAACAAGCAAGATTTCTGGCTCTCACAGACCTGTAACTTCTTCTTTAAGAGGCTCCTCTGTCCTCCACTCGTTACCTGTATTAATGGCACCTGTTTGAACTTGTTATCAGTATAAAAGACACCTGTCCACAACCTCAAACAGTCACACTCCAAACTCCACTATGGCCAAGACCAAAGAGCTGTCAAAGGACACCAGAAACAAAATTGTAGACCTGCACCAGGCTGGGAAGTCTGAATCTGCAATAGGTAAGCAGCTTGGTTTGAAGAAATCAACTGTGGGAGCAATTATTAGGAAATGGAAGACATACAAGACCACTGATAATCTCCCTCGATCTGGGGCTCCACGCAAGATCTCACCCCGTGGGGTCAAAATGATCACAAGAACGGTGAGCAAAAATCCCAGAACCACACGGGGGGACCTAGTGAATGACCTGCAGAGAGCTGGGACCAAAGTAACAAAGCCTACCATCAGTAACACACTACGCCGCCAGGGACTCAAATCCTGCAGTGCCAAACGTGTCCCCCTGCTTAAGCCAGTACATGTCCAGGCCCGTCTGAAGTTTGCTAGAGTGCATTTGGATGATCCAGAAGAGGATTGGGAGAATGTCATATGGTCAGATGAAACCAAAATAGAACTATTTGGTCAAAATTCAACTCGTCGTGTTTGGAGGACAAAGAATGCTGAGTTGCATCCAAAGAACACCATACCTACTGTGAAGCATGGGGGTGGAAACATCATGCTTTGGGGCTGTTTTTCTGCAAAGGGACCAGGACGACTGATCCGTGTAAAGGAAAGAATGAATGGGGCCATGTATCGTGAGATTTTGAGTGAAAACCTCCTTCCATCAGCAAGGGCATTGAAGATGAAACGTGGCTGAGTCTTTCAGCATGACAATGATCCCAAACACACCGCCCGGGCAACGAAGGAGTGGCTTCGTAAGAAGCATTTCAAGGTCCTGGAGTGGCCTAGCCAGTCTCCAGATCTCAACCCCATAGAAAATCTTTGGAGGGAGTTGAAAGTCCGTGTTGCCCAGCGACAGCCCCAAAACATCACTGCTCTAGAGGAGATCTGCATGGAGGAATGGGCCAAAATACCAGCAACAGTGTGTGAAAACCTTGTGAAGACTTACAGAAAACGTTTGACCTGTGTCATTGCCAACAAAGGGTATATAACAAAGTATTGAGAAACTTTTGTTATTGACCAAATACTTATTTTCCACCATAATTTGCAAATAAATTCATTAGAAATCCTACAATGTGATTTTCTGGATCTCTTTTCTCATTTTGTCTGTCATAGTTGACGTGTACCTATGATGAAAATTACAGGCCTCTCTCATCTTTTTAAGTGGGAGAACTTGCACAATTGGTGGCTGACTAAATACTTTTTTCCCCACTGTATCTCTCCAATTTGGTCCTGCCGTACATACCTACACGTACGCTACGGTCACAAGACACAGGCCTCCTTATCGTCCCTAGAATTTCTAAGCAAACAGCTGGAGGCAGGGC